TTTGCTTATTAGTACTGTACTACAGAAATCTCTTGACTTTACCCTAGAGAGTTTCTTCACTGTAAGTTCCACAATAGAACACTGTTCTCAAATACCTGCTGACATCTAAAGGTTAGTATGCATGTTTTATTCTGCAGTATAGAGGTCTTTTTCTCATTAAAATGTGATAATATATTTTTTTTTTAAATTGCACCAGAAGATTCTGAACCCAAACAAAGACCCAAACGAACAAACCAAACAAACCTGCTATGCTGGAGTATCAAATTTTCTTACCGATGTATCCATAAAAGATGCGATATACATCATTTGTGTATGGACAAAATCATTGGTCATATTGCTTGCTACAGTGGTAAGGTTACACATTTTGCTTATTAGTACTGTACTACAGAAATCTCTTGACTTTACCCTAGAGACAAAATCTATCCTCTTACCTGACCCTTTTCTCGGTGTCCTTCACTTCATTGATGGTGTACTTTTGAAACAGGATGTTTGTATCCATTGCTGCAATGTGTTCTGTGAATGAGACAAAAACGAAGATTTTTACAGTTTTATGATGATGATGTGTCATGATGTGATGATTCTAGTAAAATGATAGTGGACACACTTGTGGACCATCAGCAAGGCAACCACAGCAGGGACGTCGACTCAAGAATCACAACGTTCCACAGTGTTCAGTGGCTAATGGTAAAGAGGCAGACTGAGAGGGAGGGTTGAAGAGCTACAAAGCGAAAGGGGGCGGAGTTGAACTTGAAGGCCATAAACTCTGTCCACATAAGGTATAACGACTTTTATGGGTGATCTCTGCACGTACGAGATCCTAAATGGACTAACTTTAGCCATACATATTCACAATCACAATCTACGTTGCACCAATAGTATATCTTACGGTTTACGTTTCCAGATCACACTTTGTGACACTTTTCGTAGGTGTTTACGTGTCGTCTGGTGGCTCACCTGGTTTCATCTCTGCCGCCATGATTGCCGAGTATCCTGCAGCTCATTGCTCCTGACGAACCCGTGACTTGGCGAGAAGCTACGGACCAATCAGCGCGAAGATTATCTCTCATGTCAGGTTCAGCAACCAATCAAAGTACAAATTATACTGACATTCGGGTAGGATTAAACCAATTAGTAATAGGTATGTTTGTTTTTAGAGCTACATGTTTTTCCACTTTTATGCAACAAAAGGAACATTTCAAGCAAAGTTTTATCTTTAACTCTGTTTAAAACTTGAATTAAAAAAGACTTAAATTTTAGTATCCATCTATACTTATAAAATATATATCTATAATATCCAAACCCCCTCTGTCAAAATTCTTTAATCTAATGACAAGTGAGCTGCAACACTCTCCAAGTGCATGCTGGGAAAGGAATACAATGGCGGCCTCTTCATGTGAGGAGTGAACAACAACAAACTTCTTCAAGGTTTGCACGCATCTGTGTTCTTTTGCACTTAACTTTTGTCGCAATAAGTTCACTTATGGTTTTTAAGGCATATTTTATTCTGTTGCACAAAGAACTATATCGGTGACTATATCCGCATCTTTGGTTGGCCCCGTTCGTTCCCGTACTTCACAAAACGCGGCATGCGAAAATAGCTTTACCGCTATGTTATTTACGTTTTAGACAATAGCAACGTTGCATTTACATCTCAAACTCTTACTGAGTCCGTGTGCGGCGCGTAACCTCCAGCGGGCGCATGGTCCCAAGGCTTTACTTTGCGGTTTGTGGCTCT